ACTTTTCAATTGATTGTGACTCTCGAGAATTGAATGGAAAGTTATTATGTCCGTTTCCGTATAATTATCGATGTCATAATTGAAACATTTTCTTGATGTGGCTTGGGGTTCATCATCGTTAATTTTTATGATTTTATTGTTTACTGAACTAAGATTTAGGGGAAGTTCTGATGGGAATTTTAATTGTTGAGTAATTTTGAACAGTTGATTAGAATTTGAATTTATTTAACCAAAATATACATTTGCTCTTAAGATTAAAGCTTAAAGCAACGACTTTTTCTTAAGGGTGAAAAATTAAGCGACGACTTTCTTTAAAAATTTGAATTTAAAGCGACGACTTTCTTTTAAAATTCAAACTACGAGCGACGATTTTCTTTTGGGATTCAAACTTAAAGCAACGACTTTCTGCAGAACTTGAATTTTGAAGCGTCGATTCATTTTAAACAGCGTCGCCTTAACAAAACATTTTTTTAAATCTTAATTACAATTTGTCGCTTCAAAGAAATCAAAACAAAAATTATCTAAGCACATCCATCTACCTAGAAACAAAAAATATAAAGCACATCACGTAATTCTGATGTCATGTCAACATCCTGTCCTTTCTCTTTTCACTCAAAATTTCTCCCCAACAGCAACAAAATTTGACAGAAAAATAAAAATAGAAATTGATTTTACGTGTTGATTTTTAATTGTCTGAGAATTCTTCATTGTTTAACGTTAAAACTTATGACTACACAAAAAAAAGCAAAGGAGGAGGAGTTGCTTGAAATTAATAATTCACCTCGATGTGCAGCTATGCATGTCATGTACGCGTTAAGCAAAAAAAAAATGTGTGAATTAATTTTGTGTGCAAAATTTTGGTTCTTCATTTCCTTTTCAAAAAAAGCCTATAAATAGCCTAACTTGTGACTTGACAATTCACCAATAAATTATCATTTATCTATAAAAAAAAAAATTGTGTATAATTTGCGGCTTGCGGCATGAGACATCGAATATATCTATAATCAATAACGAAGAGTCTGTTTGATTAACGAACAGAGGCACAAAAATAATAATAATATAAATAAGCTTTTTTATGACTCAATTGGCAATAGACGAGAGTGAGATGAAGAAAAACGATGAATTTTGCTCATGGCATTTTTAAGAATTGCATTACTAATTGATCGAGAAATTGCAATTCCTTATGTAGAGATCAAAATTTATAGCACATAATTTTCATTATTTTTTTGCTTGGGGGTTGTTCATAAATTAGGTTTCTTACTTTTTGATGTTTATGGAGTATGAAGGGGGTTAATAGGATGTAAGGGGACTTAAGGTGGCTCAAGAGGATCTAAAAGTGTCTAAGAGGGTCAAAAAAGAGCTAAGCGAGTCTAAAAAGGTCAAACAATGACTTTAAAAGAAACTTGAGATGCTTAATATGGTTTAAAAGGGTCTAAAGGAGTTTAAGGAGTTAAGGAGACTCAGTAAGATTACAAGGAATGAATAGGAGAAGTCTATGGACTCTGAGGAGTTAAGAGTGGCTTGAATAATCTACGCAAGTGTCTAGTACAGAGTTACACAATTTTGTGTCATCAAAACTGATCAATAAGGTAAAAAAATCAAACAATTCTGCACCCATCATTTACAAACGACCCCCACACATATGATTTATCGATAGTTTGCGGTAAATGATGCATTATGGAAGAGAAATGTGATTGGAGAAATTATGATTGATGAATGGCATGCTTGTCTGATTCATGCACACACGTTGCGATTTAAATGAATGCATGAGTATTGGCTATGAGTGCTATAGACTTGATTATAATGATTAAATGTCAACATCAATAAATCTTCGACATCGGATTAAATCAGGAACTTAATTCAATATAAATAAAAGTTGACTTAAATCATCACTTGATCGGAGTCTCGTCTCGCGGTTTTGCGATTTCGGCTTTATGCCTTCTGGTTATTTATCTCAATCATTTTCAATTTCAATCAATCAGCACGCAAAAAAAATCTTTTTTTTTTTGATGATCACGATGCTGGTTGAATCAACAGAAAGAGAAATGATCTTTCATCGCATTTGAGTTTGCTTGTTATGGAAGCCCGACAACATGTTTTCCCATAATTAAAAATTACACATAAACACAAAAAAAAAATAAATAAATATTTTCTCATTCATTGAAAAGTTTTTTTTTTTTATCTTTGCGCTGAAAAAATGTGTGCAGCTGGGCTTTTATGATGTTGTGCAGATAAAAAGTTGCAGGCATGTCGATGATAGACTTCAATGTTGTTAAGCAATTTTCGATACACTAGACGTTAGGGCTCAGAAGTTGTGGATGAAAGTCGAATGTGCGAAAGGTGGGTAGGGGGAGGGGGGGGGGGGGCTTAGGATCAGTTCAGTCTGTTATTTCTACAAAATCCATTGATTTTCACATAGATCAAAAGTCAATCCACCAAACTAATTAAACACGAGTCAATATAACCTCCAACCCAGCAATAAAACTCATTTTCATTGTCGTCATAAAATAAATTTACATACACAATGTTTCACAGCGCGTTCCCGATAATTGCGTGCAAATGTCACAATAGAAATAATTTTTATAAACACCATTGACCGCGATTTCAATACTTGATTATGAGATTTAACAAATTACTTTCATCGCCCAATTGTAAGTCATTAATTTAAATCGCAAGTCGAGTTTAGACGCGTGAATAGTTTGCAATTTTGGCTCGTCTCTCATTTTTGGCATTAGCAATGCGCGTGCGAAAATAAGGAAATAGAAATAGAAAGAGAAAATTAATCATTTTTTTATGTACATAGGGGTCAATACTAGTCCCGATATTGCGTAAAGAAATGAAAAGTTAAATTTTGATTGTTGCTTATTTTTTTTGGAACGTGTTGAGTTCATTTTGAAGCATAAAAAGCATCAATTCATTTGAATATGTTGGAGAAAGAAGTGCAAAGATCAGTGTTAAGTTAAAATGATATGAAGAAATATAAATAAAATTTTAATTAAAAGTCAATTCATGAATAGATTGGAAATTGCTGACGTTTATGTATTTCTAGTTCTTGCTCTTATTTTAATTAGTTTGATTTACTTTTTGAAGCAGGATTTTATAGAAAAATGCATAGTTTTAAAGTTATGACTAATTGTCTTCTAATGTCCGAATTAAATTGGTCTGATTAAACTATAGCTAGTAGGAAGCTAGTAAGCTAGTAATTGTTCGATCTAAGGATGGGGGTTGGTTCAAAAAGTAGTTGCTTATTTACAGTGATGGTTAACCCATGTTACGCGAAACACTAATGTGCCTTGAAAAATTTGGGATATCCCACGGAACGTATGTAGTTTTGATCATGGCTTGCAATCATTTGTGCCGAGTATGCTTTCCCGATAGCGAAGTCGAGACCGAGAAATCGAGAAAGCATAGAGACGAGGCACAAAAAAAAGTTGACCACCACTGGCTCATCACATTAAAAATACACTTATTTACTGAACAAATGCGCCTTATCCACTACAACTTCCCATTGCATCCCCTTACTCCCAAATCTCATCTAAAACTACAAATACAAAAAAAGTCACGTTTGCATTAAGCAAAAATCACGGGATTTATAACTGTGTACAAAGCATATCCATACAAGTAATGTTAGCCGGTTATCACATTATCAATTTCACTGTAGTTCTCAGACATTCAACTCAAACTTATGTTACGAAAGAGCGAATAAGCAAAAAAAGACGAAACAACATGCAAAAAAAAACTGCGAAGAGAATGAGAAAGTAGCGACGATTAAAATTATGCGATAAAATAAGCCTTGACATTGAGTACATTGAACACCGCTACGATGACAATTTGCTCTAAATTCTCTATTTTTTTCATGCATGATTGATGTTCCTGCTTTTAAAATTTTCATGAATAAACAATCAATTAAAATTTAAATTATTCATTACCAGATGGTCTGCACTGAACTTGAGGCCGAGTGTATTTCCGAAATTTTTTAATATAAACATTTTACACACAAAAAAATCGATCGTGTCAATAAATTCTTTTCGTCTATGTCCATATGTTTCATGTCACAATAAGCAATGAATTCCTTTTTATGTTGTTTTTGTCATTGAAACTGATCTAAAACTTATTTTTTATGTAAATATGTGCAGCACAAATGTTTCTGGGAAGGGTTAAGAAACTATTATTATCAAAAGGGATGGTTCATTGAGTTCTTAAATTGAATGGAAATGTTCACATTGTAAAGTCAATGAATTTATGAGCTTAATAGATGAAGTAAATTTGAGGACTGCTGAGTATTGACTTATTTTTTGGTTTATTGTTGTTGAAAGTGTTGTTGACTGTTATGTTAAATGCTCTGGGGATCAACAGCTGTTGATTGGTGTCATTGACCTTAGTTGAGTTGATGTGGAGTCAAAAATTTGACTTGTTGTGCAATTATGAATGATTATTTTAGGTTGCACTGGATTTAGGGGCTTAGTAGGTGGAGTTGGCACTGGACGTCAAGAATTTAAGGTTTAAAAATCCTCAATTTTGATTTAAAAGTTTATTTTCAATAGTAGCTAGTATGTTTTCCTAAACTCTTACTGTTTTGGACAGTGGTGGCTAGCCTGTGTACTGCGGCCCACAAATACATCGTGGAAGTTCCTTATGTGAGCTTATAGCTACGCAATAGCTCAAATGCTTGTCTAAACATGGACGATAGCGCAAGAGGGGGGGGGGGTCTACTCATAATTATCTACATTACACCTGTAAAATATAGCAGTTCGTATCTGCATAGTCCAGAAATTTCATGCACAACATGCACTTTTCACAACACATTATTATTCCAATTCAGATCAATCATTATCAAGATAGCAGGCGATACATTATTCATACAATTGAGAATTGTGTCGATACAATTTTAATACGATTTAAAAAAAAACGAGAAAAATAAAATTCAATCAACATTTAAATTCATTGAAACAATTCAAGATGAACTAATAAGATTTTCTCATTTTCTTTTATGCTTTCAGATTCTATTCAGCCCAACATTCGATTCAACTTTTAATAGAAACATAAACAAAGAGTAATAAAAAGCTTAACAAAATAGATCATTAAAAATGTCACAAATAAACAGCAAGAAGAAACTACAACAAAATGTGCTGCCATTATTAAGTTATAAGCAAATCTTTTCATTATTAATATTGCTACTAGTCACATCATCATCAACACAAACGCCATCAACACCGTACGTATGTCCAACGGATTGCGAATGTAACTTAGATAACTTCAGTGCCAAGTGTGAGAATTTAGAATCACTTATAGCCAGTTACAGTAGGAAGCATGCGAGTAAAAAATTCATGCCTATTAAATCACTCGATTTATCGAATAATGAGCTTACAAAAATATCAAATCAATTGGAGGTGCTGGTGAATTTAACAGAATTGAATTTGTCACACAATAAATTATCGCAAGTTCGTAAGCTAAACTTCCAATACTTAGAGTCATTGGACTTAAGTCATAATCATATCACGTCAGGAAAGTTGTCAAAATTACCGAAAAACATTGTTAACCTCAATCTTGCATATAATGACATCACATACCTGCCCGTTGATTTTATGAAATTAAAAAAGCTTCGTACACTTGATTTACATGAGAATCCATTAAATTGTACATGCGATACACTTCATGTACGCAACTGGATGTCATATCAGAATGTATGGTCGAGTAAAGTTATTAAATGTACATCACCGCAAATTGTTAAAGGACAACCATGGTTGCAAGCACGACAAAATGATATTTGCTTGGAGGCAACGACCACGAGACCCATCAAAAAGACATGGGATGATATTGATGATAATGATGTCATGTTGGGTGATCAGCCACAAATGGAAGATAATGAAGGTGATGATAATAAAAAGCCAGATTATGAATATGATGATGGACAAGACATATTTGATAATGCAATGCTGAACGATGAGCCAAAAGATGATGATCAATACAACGATTATGATGAAAAGATTGAGAAGGATGAGCTTGCTGATGATTTTCTAGTAGTCAAGTCAGACAACAAAGCTGAAACAACAGCTGCACCAGAAAGTTCTGTCGAAAAAACACAAGCTAATTATGATGATATGGTTGAAGGAAGTGGTGAGCCAATGCTTTTACCTGTAATGGAGCATGTACATGAAGAGAAACCTGACGAATTAACAAAAACAGACGAAGATGAAGATGAGGGGTCTGGCGAAGGATCAGGATTCATCCCGATTTTCATTCCTGATAGAGAATCAACATCTGAATCAACACAATCAGAACCAACAACTGAAAATTCAAGCAGTTCTGATAGCCAAGAGAAGCCAGATGTAGTAAAAACTAGCGATGAAGATTATGATACAGAAGATGATAAAGTAACTACAGAAGCATCATTGGTTCCAATTCATGTGCCAGATGAATCAGCAAAACCAGATGATAAGTCAGAAGAAGATGAGAATGAAACGACAGATGCATCAATAATTTCAGGTACTTCAACTAAAAAGCATGATTTAAAATTGGGAATATTTGAAGATAACACTGAACCACCAATAATTCTAGGTAAAGGTCAATCAGGCAAGATTGACGAAGAACCACCAAAAGAGCCGGAAGCTGAAGTTGTTCCTGATGTAACTGAATCTGGCGAGAATAAACAACAAATTAAGTCAGCAACAACCGAAGATAACACTGGCACATACATATTACTAGCTATTATCGGTATACTCCTCATCTCTTTGATCATTTTCGTCGCAATGAAGAACCGACAAGAGAAACGACAAGCACGTAATCGATATGATGTTGAGAAGAATGGCGCAACAGAATTACAAGATATGGACAAGAGACAAGGATTGTTAGGCAAACCAATTGAGAAGAATGGAAATGGAAAGCATGCAGAACATTCGCCATTAATTGATTATCCAGACCATAAAGATAACCGACCAGAATTAACATCATTTAAGCCACCACAAATCACAGTCGATGAGCCTGTCCAAGAACTTCCGCATAAAGAGAAGGAAAAATCTCAACAGAGTCTATATGATATGCCAAATGGAAATGGAAATGTTCATGAGCCAATTGAGGCAGTACACGCGAGTCCAAATAATGGTTCCGTACCAAGAACACTTGACAGTGATGATGATGTATTCCATCCTGCATCCGACACACCAATCGATCCCGAATCTTTAAATGTTTCACCTGAACCACCAAAAAGATACAGTCCAGTCTATCCACCCGTATCGCCGCGATCAGCACGTTACTCACCTGTTTATTCACCTGAAACGGGACGAGTTAAAATCAAATTGACTGAAACGCCAAAGCCTAAGACACCCGTTGTGGTAACGAGAAGTAGAAGTCGAGCTGGAGATTATGTTAATACACCAAACAACTAATGAATGCTTCTTTTCTTTTGTCTATTTTCTTTTTTTGTTTTATTTTGAATTTTTATTAATATTTTTTTTGAATGAATGACGAGAAAAATAAAATTTTATTAGGGCAAAAAAATAATAATTTTGTGGACACGATAGAAATGGATGGTGCATGAATGTTGATCGATGGGATGAAGAATATTTGGATTCTTATTAATAATCACAACAAAAAAATTTTAAATCAAATAATTTTTCAGGGAGGTTGGGGGTGCTCACTAGGAATTTTGACAATATTTTTGGTGAGGTATCTAGTGAGCATCTTCATCCTTCTGTATAGAAAGAAAAACATTAAATAAAAAATTATTTAAAGTAAATGAATATTAAAAAATTTCTTGAAAGTTTCTATTAGAAAAGTAAATAGAATTGTTGGTTGGAGGAATTGGTCAGTTTTTTAAGGATGAAGAGATTCGAACTTTGAAGAATTGGGCTTTTTATTATTCAATCATTATTGATGATTCGCATCTCAATAAAGTTTATAACCTGATTAATACTACACTAAAGGTTTCGAACAGCAGAATCGATACTAAGACATTATCATCTACATATAATAACTCTTCCGGGACTATCCAAACTTCAGATTTATGCAAATCTAATGGTCTTTCCATTGTAATACCAAAACCAGTCTACAATATTAACCAGAAATATTTATTTGACCAAATAAGGCATCATAATCTAAATGTCATATCAAATCTTCTACAAGATTGCATCGCTATTGAGTCAAATGTCATGAAAGTTTAATCGTTTTTAACCAGTTAATTCATGTGATTTAGATTGTATAGAAACATCATAAGTTGTACAAACTCAAAGGATGAAATTTGACATTAAAAAAAATTTGCTTAAGAATAAAAGAGATTGCTTATTGCTTGGCTATATGACGATTAAAAATGTTTGTGGTTAAAACAAAGTTTTAAACCTAATCAAAAATTTCTTCATCCTTTATATGATCCAAAACCAGAGGAATTGATGAACTACTAGGTTGTCAGTACCAGGGATTATTACTGGTACTTAGTATTAGGTACAGTACTAGGTCACAGGGAACGGTACAATAGATTCTGTCATCGATAAGGATCGCAGTGCCTTCAGCTCGTCGCAACGTGTAGTAACACACCGCTTGGCTGGAACCAATCGTCTTATATTATTATTATTAAGTGCAGTACAAGATTTTAAGCACTGGATGCTAAGTACTAAATGCTAAGTCCTAGGTCTTAAGTACTAGCTGCTAAGTCCTAGGTCCTAAGTACTAGGCGCTTTGGACTAGCTACTAAATACTAGGCACTTAGTACTAGCTACTAAATACTACGTACAAGGTTCTAGATGGTTATTAAAATTAAAACAATCAAACATTATTCTAAATACTAAATGAAATTTTTAGATGTGTTCTTGGGATATTTAAGAAGGATTTGGGATAAATCTAGGTGATGATAAGCTTTGATTAAAAATCTTAAAACAAAATGTGTTCAAATTAGAAAGAAATTATACTTAGAATGATGTTTGTTTAATTGTTTTTAAAACTCTTAAGATTCGCACATTCTTCAATCAATTCAATTCCTCATCCTCCCAAAGAAAGTGACCAATTCCATCCAGAAAACAAACCAGAGAATATAAAAAACAATTGTATATTTAAAAATTACATAACACACATTACTATTTCATTTATAGAGTCAGAGTGAAAAAGAAAAAAATGTAGCTTATAAAGTGAAAACAAACAATGTTATAGCTTCATCTTAATTTTAAAAAAAGTAAATCAAAAAATGAAGAAGAAATCAATTACACACATATCGATATAAGTCAATTTGAGAAAACCATTTTAAAATGAGAAAATTATAATAAAAAAAAAATGATCAAAAATGATAAGTTAAAATAAATCGAGAAATAATAAAAATTTATCTAATAAATTGATTGCTTGTTTTTGAGTCATTGGCATGAATGTTTTAATTGATTTTTGCATTGCTATTTCAGATGATTTCTTATTGTTTCAGTGGAACTTATCAACTGTTGCGGATCTGAATGACTAATGAATTTATAAGTCACTTGTAAGGAATTAAAAAGTAATACGAACTTTCATTTGAAATTTTTATGGCGAAATTCAGGATTACTTAACACAAGTGAAAAATAGCTGTGGGATTTCCTTGAACTGATAAGAAGACTTGATCGCTCTTGACTTTTGAGTCATTCTAGAATTCCCAATTTTAGACTGATCCAAGAATCTTCCGGTAATGCACAAGTCGGTGAATCGAATAAAAATCAGGTACCAAGCCGGCGTGACTCTGGCATTCCTTTGATTTAGTTCCATCACCATGCTAGAGTCTCACTGGCTTGGTGCTGAACGATCGATCAATTCTGATCGATTAACCAACGTGTTGTTACTTTGAAGCAATGTTGTCCATACTTTTTTGAGCCACAGCACACCTTAGAATTAAGTCGCACACAGCATGCTGTTCTCGACATTTGCCACGGCACAAAGTTTGGACAACACTGCTTTAAAGGACACAATTTCAATATTTACATCCTATTAAAGTCAAGTGCAACAATATTATCAAGTATATAAATACATTTCATTTCAATTCTTTGTTTATGATCTTCAGTCTTTGCATGACGCCAGACATTGAATCATCGACTATCAACATCAAAGGTTAAAAAGATGCAAACTGTGTAATTGAAAACTTCAATGTTAAGATGTTATTTAGATGATCTAGCCTAGATTATCATGTCAATTACTTTTAAATTAATTAAGCAATTTATTTTTGTAAATTTTGCGACTTGATAGTTTATTTCTGAATTTTTTTAGATGCGTAGAGTCAGAAAAGGTTATTTTGAAAATTCATATTCAAGAACAAAACGAAATTTGGAACAGATGGAGTTTTACATCTGGATGTTCATCCACTATCGCATGCTAGCCGTTTCACATGTCATATTATTCAAGACACAAACCAAATGCGGCATTTATTCAATGCGAATCATAAATTCAAGTCATACAAAAAAAATTTATTTATTATTTGTAAAGGCATATAAACATTTACGTCCAAATCTTAATTCTTAACTCATCAAATTCTCAAATTCAGTTCCTAATTTTAAAATCAGTTCCTCCTTCTTTTTAATAAAATTCATAATTTCTCTGAGCTTCTCAACATCGTTAGCCCACTCGTCCTTAAACTTAACTTCAGGATATCTTTTCTTAAGCATATCAAAGACATTCTGCCTTAATCCATAATGTTCATACTTGTTGCTTAATTTGATAATGTCAAGTGCATTTTCTGTGTTGATTTCAGCTTTTATTTTTGATGCTGCATAATTTTTCAGGTCCTCAATTTTCAATTTTCCAGCAGCAGCAAAAAGATGCAAAAAGTTAATTCCTTCATCCTTTGGAAGTTCAGCAGTGTAGATGAATTTTAATATTTTTTCAAAAATATCCAACGGAATGTCAACCAAATTTAAATTTTCAGCTTCAGGATTGTTTCTTAAAATGTCAGCCAGTGTTGGGCTTCTTGCTGCAATAATTGACTTGTGGACTTGAAAAAGTCGATCATCGATTGTGATTGAGAAGTCTCTAAAGGTTTTGTCATGCTCAAAGAAGGTTTTCAGGTTGGCAATTAGAACTGATTCTGATATTTTGTCTGCTGCATGCTGTTCTTGTTCGTCGTGTGGATTGTTACCTAAATCTCGCATTTCTACTTCCTTATTTGTCATAGCTAAACTTGATGGATATTTAATGATGAGCTTCTTCTTAAATTCTTTAAGGTTTCTATTTGAAAAGTTGTCAGCTTCAGTTGAGAATAAAAGGAAGTAATGTGGATTGAATTCAAGATTAACAAACTTCAGCTTGTCTAGTCCATCAAATACTTTCGGCTCAATTATCTTCAACTTGTTCATACTGAAGTCAATATGCTCTAAATTATCAAAACTTTCAAACAAATCAGCAGGCAGGAACTCAACTTCTTGTGTTGACAAATCAAGCTTCTTCAAAGTTTTATATTCATCCAAATCATTTTTGGTAATTTCCTTAATTTTTGAGTTATGAATGACTAAACTTTCGAGCATTGGATATAACTTTGTGAGTCCTTTTGGAATCTTTGTTATTGTACAGTTGTTGAACCAGACTGCAACGACATCCTTTTCCTTTAGTTTCTCAACATGCTTTCCATCAAGTTTTACATCGCTAGCTTCTGGAATAACTTGCTCTGTGACATGACAGCTGTAGACATCTTTATCGAGATGAAATGTACATGGAATTGAGTTGCCCTAAAAGAATTAAGTATGTGTATTGTTTGAGTATATGGATCTACAATAATCCTGATTGTTAGATGAAAATTAAGCGTCTTCAGTTGCTTCTAATTCAACAATCTTAAAAGTATTAAATTTTGCAACCTTAATTTTTTATGTTTTTGTTTATGCTTCTATCCAGACACATTGAACCCTAGGAACGCTCTAGACTAGCTAGACCTTATATCAAACATTTATTTGATTTTTTAAGTGACTTAAAATGCGCAAATAATCCACAAGAATCATTTCTATTTTTAAAAAAATATTTGAAATTCTCAGAAAAAAACCGTACACACTGAATTACTCACCATTAAAACAAATGTTTAGTCAGACGCTATCCCAAACACTGATGATGAAGAAAAAATAATCGTTCAAGTGTGTTATCGTAAAACTTCTTATTGTGTGACTAATTTCTCCTCTATTGGATGTTATTTAAAGCAAAATTGAACATGAAATGGTCGTTAAATGTGTTTTGAGTAGCTCATCATTAACTTTGCGTTTATCAGGTACTAGTTATTATAAGTGTCAGGTACAAATAGTTCTCTATATCAACAATAAACTATAACAATGATTTCCGGTTCATTTTTTGCATCCTCAATTTCATTCTGATTTATTCTGAATTCTTAAATTCAATCAATTTTTCCTACACTTTAGGAAATATCCAAAAGTTACTTAAAGTTCCGTGGAAATTAAAAACTCAACGGTTTTTCGTAAATGAGTACAATCTCAACTTAACAACTTACTTATGAGTTCGCATGCATGCAAACTTGTCATCCAAGAGTCTTGGAAGAGATGGAACTGGAACTCCCACAAGTCTAAACTGACAGGTTGGACTTAAATAGTTTCATCAGATTTAAGCTTCTGAGAAAAAGTAGACGTGTTTTGATATACAACATGATAAGTTTTTGATGGTTATATCCAATTCCAAATTTATGTGGGACGAAATTGGACGTAAAATTTTATAATGAAAATCCAGAGAGTGGCGATGTCAAAATCCAATTCTTTGACATTAGATTGTTGAACAATATAAACATGTTCGGAGATATTATAATAGATAATTTTAATGAAAAAAATATTTTCAGTAATTTCATGGATTTATCGCTTTGAAAGCAACGTTTAAGATTCTAACAGCATAAGCATTTTAATTAAAATTACATGGAAATTCAAAGAATCCCAAATTTCGAATGTAGACAAACTTAAAAATTGTAATGATCATTAATTATTGATTTTTTGCTATCTTTTGAGCTTATTAGAATCCTTTTTACAAGCTTTTTATTCTCCTATTTTTCAGAAAATGAAAATAGTATTTTGAAAAATAAAGTAATTTAAGTAAAATCAACAATTTTTCAACTGGCTATTTTGACATTGCCTCTATGAAAATCTTTTGAAATCTGAATGAAAATTTTGATATTTTTATAAAATTTCGAATTCTTTAATATAAGATTTTGTTTAATCGTAGATTTTGAGTTTCCTCACTTTGATTTTAACTGACAATCTTAAAAAGGACTCATAGTACAAGACAACGAAATTTTTTCCGTTATTTCTTCAAAAATTTCAATTTCACGAATTTTTAATGAGTTTGTCAAAATTGCTTTATTAGATGTCTAGTAATTTTAAAACCATTTAAAAAACTGAAACACACGAAATAAAGTTTAAATTCGTGGAATAGATTTTAATTCAAAATGTAAACAAATTATTTTTCCGACTTCGAAGAATAAAGGTCCAAATATCAAAAAATGAAATAAATACCTTTTTATATTCACACCATTTTCACGTGTGAATCTGTTGGTTTTGTTCAGATTGAAAAATCAGTGTATTGAATTTTGTGAGGATATGGAGCAAGATAGCTTAAAATGTTCAGAGATGAAAAGTTTGTGCAAACAAGCAAGTTAATCAGCAAGAAATCTCAATAACGAGACATCGTAGAGACTTCTGGTTTTTTTACATTTGATCCGTGCTACTCTATAGAAGAGCTGTATTGTTTTTTGGCAAGGTAGGAACAGCCGTTGCTTCAGAAAAAGCAAAAAACTTTCTTTTCTTACGAATTTTTCAAATTAAAAGTTCGACCCTAGTCAAAATCAATTTTCTCACTTTTTTCTTCGAGGGTTTATCCAAATGGATTGAAACTTTGCATAAATATTTTAATGCTTAAAACAAATAAAAATAAAACATCACAAAATTTTTTTGAGCATAGAACCAAGAAGGAAATACATTTTCAATTTTGGATTAGGGGCGACCCTAGTGAAAATCAATTTTCTCACTTTTTTCTTCGAGGGTTTATCCAAATCGATTGAAACTTTGCATAAATATTCAAATGCTTAAAAAAAATACAAATAAAACATTCTGAAATTTTTTGAGCAAAGAACCAAGTAGAAAATACATTTTCAAATTTGGACTAGGGGCGACCCTAGTCAAAATCAATTTTGTCACTTTTTTCTTCGAGGGTTTATACAAATGGATTGAAACTTTGCATAAATATTCTAGTGCTTAAAACCAATACAAATAAAACATCCTAAAATTTTTTGAGCAAAGAACCAAGCAGGAAATACATTTTTAATTTTGGACTAGTTGTATGAAGAACTTGTTTAAATTGAAACTTATATTTTTAGAAAAAAATTCTAGTAGATAGTAAATCAACCCACATGAAAAATATAGTTTAAATTTGACAATTTTATGAAAAGCAATTAAATATGTTACAACTTTTTTTACCTGATCAATATTTTGTTGTAATGTTTTGCACAAAAGGACAATAAGTCTACTAAGAAATATAGGTGGATTAAATATCTCACTGTGAAGTAATAAATCCACTTACGATTTCAAGTGATCTTATTGCCTCATAGTGAGATATTAAAGACGAATCCTAAAAATGTTGCGGATTTATTAACTTCAAGTGAAGACAAAAATTCCACATACAAATGAAAGTGATTTTTTTACCCGCACGTGAAAATAATTATTTCACCTTAAATTGTAATTTTGTCTAAGTGGACTTATTGTCTTGCAGTGAAAATATTAAGACCAATTGAAAAATTAAAATTTTATAAGTGGCCTTATTGTTTCTCCGTTATTTTTCATTTTTCGGGTTTATTATCCTCTAGTGTTGTGGACTTACATATTATTCTTCGGTGCAATTGACTACCATCAAAAAATTTTACTCTAAACATCCAAAACCTAAAGCTTTATTCCAAATAACATTAAATTCTATCCATAACTCAACACTCAGATCTATCATGACCAGAACTCTTTAAATGAAACGATGTACATTTAGACTGTAATTCAAAAGTCTTAAGCTGCTCAAGAACATCTGAAGGCGGCACCATAGTTGTATGATGACTACACATCTGCTCATCGGACTTCTTTTTGTCATCGCTAGCTGGTTTTTCATCTTTTGACTTCTTTTTGTTGTCTTTTGATTGCTTTTTTGAGTCGACTTGTGATTTATTATTAAGTTTTGGTTTTTCATAGCTTGTTGACGGAAGTGGCGTTGATTTATTCTCAATTTTGGGCTTTTCATCCTTCTTGTATGTCATTATGCTATTGGAATATGGATAATCTAAGGAGTCAGGCTTAAAATTATCAACTTTCACTAATTGACTTGAGCTACTCCTGCTATTGCTTCTATTTGCACCAGTCTGAACTGATGAGCTGCTGTTTGCAGTCTGCTGAATTGATGAACCACTGCTTCCACTTTTAAAACTTGAACTCGCTCTCTCAGTAGGTTTTGAAAGTCCCGTTTGAGGCAATTCAAACTCTTCTGACTTCTGATCTTCAGCATTTGTTGTTAATAACCAATTTTGAAAGCCTCTCGTTGACAATTGTCTTCGTCCAATTACACCAGAGTTTAAGATTCTTGATGCTGTGATGCGAATCATGATGAATTAATGGAAAAAAATTGATAAATTTTGAAGAACTTTGAATTTGTCGACTGAACTGATCGAAAGGAAAATTTGAAATGAAGATTTTGAAATTTTCAGAAGCAACTGGGATGAAATAATAGAAATTTTGATTAATCAAAGGTTATTTTTGATTGATTGCAGTCGAAATGCTTGAATTGGTAAAGATCTGGATGTTTGAAATGTTGATTTTAGGTATAACATGAGAGAGCATGATGTTTGTGGTAAAGAAGAGTCATTTAAATGAGCATTGCTTCTACAAAGCTTATTTGCTTTAAGTTGGTTCCTGTAAGTCTAAAATCTAGCAGTACTATCTCCACTTGACTTAATGATGTCATTAATTATTGATTTAACAGCTGTAAAGTCAGTCTTTTAACTTAACTCAGTCAAACATCCACAAATCAACTCATAATTCTGTAACTGCAGCCATTCATTCCAAGTTCCCACGACTATTCATTAACAGATGGCGTAAGCTGCTAAATGGTATCATATACTTTATTGTGACTAAATAAGATCCAAATTAATTCTAATTAAACTGGATTAAACTGGAAATTCTCGATGTCTTTGGATTTAATAATAATTTAGAGTATAATCCATGAATGTCTCATGTCTATAGACATCACAATTTTAAGACATCGACAATCCCCACTTTGCAGTAAATTTAACTAAGCCTGAATAAATAAAAAATAAATTTAAAAACTAGTAGGTCGACTCCCACTTTCATCTGTGTCATTATTGTCTACGTTTGCTGGTGGAATGATGTACTCTGTCTGTCTTCGAATCTCAAATGTAATAAACTCATTGCTGCCTTCTCGTTCGACAATGTTTGTGACGTCATGTTTCGGTGATTCATCAAAATGATTTTCTGTCAGTTCTAATGGTGGATTTGAGGGTCCTGGAGTTGATTGTTGACTGCTGCTGATTACAGACTGACTGTTGTTTGGCTGCTGACTATTATTACGCCTTTGTTGGCTGTTTACAGCTCCATTAGGTAGTCTCCTTGAAGCATACGGGCTTCTATCATTTAAGGTTGTCACACTTTGTTCATTAAAATTCCGAATTTCTTCATATTCGCTTCCATTTGCTGATTCTGTTGTCACTTGTCGTGAGTCTCTCATCTCTCCTTCAAATGGATGTACTCGTTGAAGTGCTTGTCCATTGACTGTTGATCTCATTGATAAAATTTCTTCACTTCTGCATCGATTCCTTCTCAATGGAACATCCTCCTCAATCTCTTCATCCTCTACATCCTTCCTTCTTGCTTTATTCTTCCCACGTCCATATTCATTTAAAGATGCAAAGCTAGCATCAAGTCGAGGCATACGAATTGCATCAGAATAACATGGCGGTCTTGTTTCTCTCGGATCTGGTGCATCTCGTAGTGCCTCTTGCTGCATTCTCACTCGATTTTGGCGTATACTAAAATTTAAAGAATCATTAAAGCTGAAAAATGAGCTGTTTACAAAGTTCATGCTATTTACATTTCACGACCTTCCTCAAGATTTCTTTCACGTTCTTCCTCTCTGAGTGTTTGTGCTCTTCCTTCAATGGCTCTTCTTACTGACATTATGAGGCACATACAGCCTGAAAATGCTTTGAGAGAGTGAAAAGAAGGTTAGAATGATTATTTGTGTTTCTTGGAATTTTATGTAGTAATTGGAAGGGTTTTTTTGGGACATGAAATAGTATAGAAGAAGCTATACTTGGCAACCACTACTCACCAATAACAGTAACCATAAAGAACGTCCATATCTTCTCTGATGTTCCCATTGTCGATTGTGGATACCAAGTAAAGAAGCAAGCACTTTCCCAAGTTCGTCCAGCGACATTTTCAGGAGTTTGACATTTTAGTGATTGCTTCTCCCAAACTTTAGCTGGTGGATCGGTGATGAATGTAAAGAAGCTGTATAAGTCTTGGCAGTTGCATTGCCATGGATTATCACCTAACGATAGCGAAGACAGGTATGGATTTTCAGAGAACAATTCCCTTTTGAATGGCGTTGTGAAACGATTTCCAGCAAGCTTTAAGGTTTGAATTTCTGGAAATCCAGCGAATGTAAAGTTCCTGACTGTTACCATTCTGTTCATTGATAAGTCAAGGAATTGTAGTGAGCTTGATGCAAGGAAGTCTGGAAGTTCTGATATCAAATTGTTTGATAAATCGAGGGAAATTAGTTCCTGAAATCCAGACAGTGCATCATGTTCAATTGTCATGATTTCACACCATGTCATGTTCAAATGTGTCAATGATGGTGCTGTGATTCTGTTGAATCGACTTAGGTAATTACGACTGACGTCAAGCTTGGCTAGAAGCTCATTTTCTTTGAAGGCTTCACGTTCAATTTTAGGAATCATGTTGTAGGATAAGTTTAAAGTTTTGAGTCTCTTCATGAGTTTAAAAGTGTTGGAATCAACAGAATTGATTGAATTTTGCGACAAGTCGAGGCTTTCAAGCATTTGATTGTTTACAAAGCTATCTGAAGTCAATTGTCTGAGCATATTTCCTTTTAATATTGCTGTTGTCAGTGCTGGAAATCCATCAATCTCAATAGTATCCATGTTACAAAATGATAAGTCGATCTTCCTTAAAGACACTGAATGAACAAATTCTCCATTCTTATTTTCTAACGACAATCTGTAATTCCGAGCTAGATTCAAAGATGATAGAGCAGGTAATCCAGTCAACATAGTTGGCATCAAGCTTGTCAGACGATTATTACTCAAATCTAGTGTCATCAAGCTTTCTGATTCAATATCCGAAATGCTTCTTATTTGATTTCCAGACAGAATCAAGTGCTTCAGTTCATTCATCCCCTGCAGCACTTGCTGACCAATTATTTTTGAAATTTTACAATGACTCAAGTCAAGCAGCTGTAAACTTTTAGACACAATCATCAAGTTTTCGTCATTCGTTGAGAAACTTGTCAGTGGATTTCCAGACAAACTTAATTCTCTTAAACTCACAGCTGGCTCCAATAAAGTCTTTGGATTGATACCAGCCCAACTGCTGATATTGTTCTTGGACAGATTAAGCATCCCAAGTGTCACTAATCCTTTTAGAGAGTTTGGCTTGAGTTTTTGGATCTGATTCTCTGAAAGATCTAAATATTGAAGGTATTCAAACTTTTCTAGTTGTGATGGAATGACTGTGAATTGGTTTTTGGAGAGATCGAGGATGTGAACCTAAAATTAATGATCAATTTTAAAGATTAATGGTTGGGCTGTAAGATATAAGTACTATAATAATGTTCAAGTGGAGCTACTCATAAATAACGTTGAGATTTTTAGAAGATTTAATAAGTGGCACGTTCTCAATGTTTTATTTTGGGAAATTATCTCATACTCTTTGGAGTAAGGAGAGTGATTTAAAGAAATATATTTTAAGTAGCATCTAAATTAGGTTTGAGGCTCGACGACTATTCTCTATATGCACGAAAAAGTTTATTTACTTTAACAACAACGATGACTAAAATAAAGAAGATTCAAAAAAAGTATGCAGTAAGTAGCAGCAACAAGAATGTGAATAATTATTTATTGTATAAAAAGATATGAGCAAGGGATTACACGAATGAATCAGTTATATGGACTGATAAGAAAATACATACACACGCTGTCTGTTTTATAGAAATAAATGTTTTTTTTTATGAATATTAGAGAAGTCAACTGATGTTATATGAACACATTTTTGAGGTAATTCTAGACTCTTCTGTTGAATTGAATCTTTTAGGATAAGTTTATGGGAGATCAACTAATTTCGTCCATCGTTTAAACGGAGAGGAGGGGTTCTCAGAACCTGGAACCCTAGCTAATCGTGGCTTCAAATTAAGTCACCTTTTAACAATGATCTGAAGACATTTGAATGAATTCCGAGTGTCTAATCCAGTGAATTCCAAACTATGTGCCGCGACACAATAGTATATCGCAAAACATCCAAAAAATCTCACAAATCAATACTATCAAGGTGTGTCGCCGACCAAAAAAGTTTGGAAGACATTGGTTTTTCTACGAAATTATTTTTTTCATACCTGATTATCTTCAAATTCTGGAAGCTCCGACAGCTCCAAACTCGAACAATCCACAAGCATCAGCGATCCATCCATTGTGCAATGACAATCGCCTAAAATTATACATTTGATCGATTTATTAGACAATTTGCCGAAGCTATACATTTTATATATCATTTAATAAGCAATAACAAGACATTAATGCATTGATTAAGCCTAAATTTCATCACTATCTATTCATAATCAATATTTTTATCACTATATTAAATTAATTCTCACCTGGACAATTCTCTGACTCAAAAGTGCTCACCAAAAGCACGTGCAGCAACACAAAAGTCAATGTTCGTTGCATTTTACTCAAATAAAGGCGTTAAGCACAAAAAGAAGTGAATAATTGATATGAACAAAATTTCTAAATAAATATCCGATGATTAAGTCAGGCTGCAAATAAACGTATATCGCATGGCATATAACGTAAACAGTGATTACTTCTTATCAGCCACAGGCAGGTTGATATGCGCAAAACAAAATGGTCACAAACACTTTTTTTAATTTTTTTCTAAGGCTGTAAAATTTTGCCAAGGATTTAATTCAAATTAAGTCACAAAAATGCTATCACAATTCGAAACACATCGATTAGATGTGCAATCATATTTGTATCACTAGCTTTTATTGCTGTTTTCACAATGTTTGGAAATGTTTGATATTTTTTTTGGGTGTGTTAAGGTTCACAATTTTAGATTTCACGATTTTGAGTAATTTCTTGAATTTTTTTCGACAATTTTTACACTCTTAATGCACAAACGGAACCGACAACTTTCCAATCAACTCATATTAAATTTGATCACAAATTTAATTGATTTTTAAAACGACTAAAGTCTTGATGCGTCGGAGTTTCGCACGTAACTGTTAAAGTAATTGTGAAATGGTAAGTTTGAATTACACTTATCAGCCAAGATAAAGAATTGTGATATAAAAGATAAGAAAATGTTGTTTGAATGTGTTTATGGATAAAAATATTTTCGCATACTGCTTTTCATGATGAGAATGACTTTTTTGGGTAGGAAGTTGAAATGTGAAAGCACATCTTTGTTGGAGCTTTCACTTTTATTAATTTTAGGCCTCAATGAGGATTAACGCTTTATTATTTTCATTGTTGATAGTTTCATCTGCTGAATGATCACCATTCGGGGTGGGATCATGGGAAAGGCACCCAGCCTTTTGAGCTGTTAGCACTGCGGTTCAAATTAGAACAGAATCTATTGCACTTCACATTTTACCTACAGTTTACAGTGGAATCCAAATCATTTGGAGTTGTTCATTCATTTCATAGTCCAATAAATTATCAAATTTATATCTTGGATGGGCACAAGCTCCTTCTTTGTAGTTTGAAGTTTTTCAAAATTGTCGATTTTGCTTCTGTTTTTGAATCTGAATCACAAAACGTTTCAAAAGCAAAGCTAGTAAAGGGAATAAATGTATTGATTAATAAATCAGTCTTTCGTCGGAATCAAACCCATGTCCTCATAAACACAGTCTAATTTTTTACCGATTCTTCAACGATGCAAATGTGCTAGAAATTAAAAACTCGCAGAAATTGTTTAACTATAGAGCAAATTTTTTGACGAACTTTGAATGCGTCAATGGACCCCCGTGCGGTTTAGTCAAAGAAGTAAGAAGTAAGTAAGTAATTTCTTACTATTCAGCCACAGAGTATTTGACAGTCTTGATTTGGATTGATTGTAATCGATGACCTCGCTTAATTGTCGCCTAAAACTAGCTCTATCACTGTTCATCGTCTCTATCGCTGGCCAATTGCCGATTCAAAATGCAACATTGTCCCTATCAACAGCCCCTTTCCATGAGTTCTTTGGCCTTCCACGTGATCTCTTAAAGAAGGTATTGAATGACATATCAACCTTCCTTATTCAAATCTGACTCGCCTATTGAAAATTCCCCAAATATTATCAACCAGTCACAGGTTAACCACAAAAATTTAAATTCCACATCCCCATTAAAATATTTACCAAAACTCCCTCCACCCTCCAAATCCTCATTAACCAGCAAAAAAAACTAATTAAATCTGACTAATTATTTTTATAACCTTCCACTTCCTCTCCATCAAAAACTGCCTTTATCCTCAAAAAATATTAACATTCAATTCATTAACTTAATTAATTCGCATTAAATAGACTAAATAAAATCATAAAGTAGCCAGCAAAAAAAGAAGTTTTTATCAAATGAGAAGTAAGGCATTAATTTCTCCCAACATCATCATCATCATCATCATCGTTTCTGTGAAGAGTCGTTAGTATTATTTTTATTATTATTAAGAAAATATATTCGTCATGCATATTAAAAGTAATAATTTTTAACGTTACCGACCATAAAAAGGCAGATCAAAAAGATATTCGGTAAATATTCATAAATTAAATTGAATGTGATATAAAAATGGACAATATTTGCCAAGCATCATCACACGGGATGCGGAGGGAGGATGATACCGAAAAGCATCAAAAGGAAAAAGAAAAACATTTCTGTGATGAGGAAAAAGGAAGGAAAACGACACTCAATGGCTTGTGATTTCTAAACTCATCGCCTTTCTCTCTTTTCATCCTGTTTCAACCCCTCACGATAGAGAAATTTTCTCGCAACTTCCTTTTTTTTCTATGACTGTGAAAGAATGTTAGGGAGGTTTGAGTATTTAATGCTTATATGGTTTTATGCTTTCGTAAATGATAAATAAATGTTCTTGCTGTGTGTCCTTTCAATTTCATTTATATCGTCTTATTTCGAGGGGTTGACATTATTATCATTTCTTAGATATGTCCGAAGACAGAGATTTGTGACTGAATCAGCTTCTTGTTTACTTTTGATAACTTTACTTTATGAAGGATGCATGCATGCATGAGAGTCATAATTACTCATATATGATGTATAGTAATCATGAAAATTAAGAATTAATTATAAGTTGTTTTCATATTTATTTAATGCGTTCGTCTTATGGATGTTGAATTTTGTCATTATTATGATATGTATAAGCATGTAATGTTTGTTGAGGATGGAAAATGATGAGAAAAAATGAAGCATGAAATAATCAGAATTTCAGGGTTGGAAAATTAAGATTGTTTGAGCAAGTTTGAGGTGATTTTGAAGTCATTTCTGATCCAAGGCTTAGCTAGGGAAGAAGGGATTGAAAATCAGAAATCTACATTGAAGGGATGAGTATTCACAGCAAAAAATGATTGAAACCTTCTTGTTTAAGCACTAATGGATTCATTAGCTTATAAGTAGCAAAATTGAACCTATATTCAACAGCACAAGTTTTTTTTTCGTCAGAAATTCTGACACCAAGCTGATGTGACTCTAGAATGGTACTTAATTCGATTTAAATTGATTAAATGGCTTGTGCTATCCGAGTTAAGCATGTACGTGGTTTACGTAAATAGAAAAAGTTGTTGTCCTGCTTGCAAAGAAGTAAGTTCGAGTTCCTTTTAAAAATCTTGGTTGAAATCAGAGCTCGAAGTCGATAGCATTTAAGTCGACATAAATCGAGTTTACTTTACTTAAATCAATTGACTTCGAGTTGACTTGACTCGACTTTAAGCTCTGTTTGAAATTTTTGTAAGAATCGATGACTGACACCTTAGCCAACCTGTACCTAAACCTTTCAAAATAATAATAATAATCTTCAACACTTGGACTTCAACACGAGGAAGACCGAAGATTTCGTGGATTGGATGCGTTGAAAAAGACGCTAGAGTCCTTAATATCCTGAACTGGCTGTTTTCTAAGGATAGAGCTGTCTTCAAACGATCTCTAAGAACGGCAATGGGCGCCCCAGCCAACGAAGTAAGCAAGTAAGAAAGAAATCTTCATCACTTGACCAACTTCCCTTAAAAAAATTTTTTTGAACCACCACTGAGCTCAAAACTCAGCCCAACCACAGCCACAAAATAATTTTTCCAAAAAATAAGACATAAGAAAAATCTATCAACCAGAAAATAAACATGGAAAAACCCAATGAAAGAGAAAAACGGAAAAAGGAATCCGACTTGTGCTTGCAAAAAAAAGGACAAATATCATCATCGTCTTCTCCGTTTCATCTTCTGCTTTATAATTCCAATAATTAACTGTATTTTCTCTTGCATTATGCCCAATTAAAAGGAATTTATTTGTATACAAAAAAAGAAAATTTTATTCATATTTATTTTTCCTTCCGTTTTTTTTTATTTTAGGAGATCTTATGGTATTTATATCGTTGGAGGAGGATAGTATTGAGATGTTTGCCATTGGACAGTTGGGAATAAAAAAAAGGAATTGAAAGTTTTTTTTGGGTCTGAGAGATTATTTTGATACTTTGTTGTTTGTAGTTGTTTCGTTGGGTTTTGCAAGGGATTGAGTTGGGGTGATTTGTAGATTTTTGCTGGCTTTTGGACTTCTTTTGAGGAATTTATGAATAATTTTCAATTTTCCTTCCAATCCTTTAACAAAATTCCATACTAATAAAATTTATTCCATCCTATAAATTGTACCCTTACCTTGTCATCCCAACTGGACAATTTCAATCCCAGAATCAGCACAAAAAAAAATTCCATCAGCTTTTTTCATCATGCAATTTCCATCGTCTCATCTTCTTTTGAGGGATCAATATCAAACAGAATTTATACATCCAAAGCTGCTTTTCTTGACTGCATTTCCACTCAACATAAGAAGTAGACAATCATAAATCTATCAATTTATTATAAACTTTATGAGGAATTGAAACAAAAGAGACAGTTAAGTTGTTTGAGGGGTTGTTCGGTAATGATGTCAATGTATGTGTTATTGGCTGATTCTGAATGTAAAAAGTAATTAATTCTGAATTATGTCGCTATTTTGTCAAGTGTTTTAAGATAAAGAATTTTTTTTTTGGTTTCCACAGTGAAGAGTATGAACAAAATTCAGATGGGGTAGTCGAAATTTTAGATTTCGATATTTTTTAAGCTATGCATTACAAATAGTAATATTGGTATGTGATTTATGTCAGAATTATGTCAATTCAAATAAAACATCCAAAAAATTTTTTGACCAAAGGGTTCGTTCACTTATTACGTAACGCACTAGGGGGGGAGGGGGGGTCTAAGATTTTGTTACGGTTTGTTACAGGGGGAGGGGGGGGGTCTAAATTTTGTTACGTAACCTTTCAAAAATTATATTTTTTTATAATTTTTTCTATATTAATTTTAAATTTTTTTAACGTTAAATTTTAACTTAAGAACTTTTTAGTTATAATTGCTTTCCTTCTATTTACTTTTACATACTTAAAGGAAGTATAATAAACATTTGATAAACAATTTAAATGAAAAAAATTATTGTTACGTTATGGGGGGGGAGGGGGGGGGGGTCTAAGATTTTGTTACGCTTTGTTACAGGGGGGGAGGGGGGGTCTAAAAACTCGTTTTTTTGCGTTACGTAATAAGTGAACGAGCCCAAAGTACACCAAAGAAAATCAATTTTCAATTTTGGACTAGGGGCGACTCTAGTCAAAATCAATTTTGTCACTTTTTTCTTCGAGCGTTTATCCAAATGGATTGAAACTATGCATAAATATTCTAGTGCTTAAAACAAATACAAATAAAACATCCTAAATTTTTTTGAGCAAAGAACCAAGTAGGAAACTAGATTTTGACTAGACCTGTTCCAAGTTCATAATTGAAAATGTATTTCCTACTTGGTTCTTTGCTCAAAAAATTTAAGATGTTTTATTTGTATTTGTTTTAAGCACTAGAATATTTTTGGAAAGTTTCAATCCATTTGGATAAACCCTCGAAGAAAAAAGTGACAAAATTGATTTTGACTAGGGCCGCTCCTAGTCCAAAATTGAAAATGTATTTTCTATGGTGTACTTTGGTCAAAAAAATTTTTTG